AACTTTTTTGGTTCATAACTTTTTTATAAACAATGAGCGACGGATAAAAGCTTCATATTGTTACTCAGGAAGGTAATCTTAATAACATATGTGAAAAAGAAGCCGATCGGAGGGGGCTCCCCTATTCTGTACATTTACCGAAAATATTTATTGTCATAATATTTATATGTCATGTTAAATATATCATCCACGCAGTAATTTTTCTGTGAAATCATCATAAAAGTAATTTTATTTACTACGATCACGATTCACAGTGCAAGTTGCACATAGAAAATCATGATTTATTCGAGTTGTATTATTAGCGTATTTGCTGTGCTTGTGTTTTGTATTACCTTATAGTAAGAAGTATATATGTAAATATAAAATACTTGATTAATTTCATTATTTATTTTTAATTTGATTATTATTTTGTGATAACTTTTTTACCGCTTATAGAAATCGACTGTGAACGTGGAACTTATTGAATGACAATGCGGACGATGTTATGGGTTTTACTTTTTGCTATCCAAATATTTCACAGTTGTGGAAAAGTAATTCTGTTACGTGGAGAATTATGTCATATTAATTCATCTATAAGTGAGAGAAAATATATATGTCTGTCAGAAGACGACGGCGGCGCACTTGTATGGAATGACGACTTAATTCATAGTCAATATCAGCAAGAAAATCGTGCTGATTTGAGTAAGTTAGTAATGTTTTTGCAACATACCAAAAACAATCACAATTTTATAGTTGTGTAAGTTTGTAAGAACAAATTTTTTAAACAAAATGTTTTACTTTTATTTTTATAAATACACGTTTAAAAAAACTTTCCTTATAAATAAATTCTATTTTATCTTAAATTTAAGAACTATCTTTATTTAAAGTTTTATATAATATATAGCCAAATATTCTTTATATTCTATATATTTCCCATAAAGCACAGGAGTTTTCTGTTATGTTGCTACAATGTTACATTATTGCAATATATAATCTAATGTAACAAAAATAGTATAAAAACATTGGAATTGCAATAAAATAATAATAATATTGCAGCCATGTTTCAAAAATGATACTAAAATTATAATATCATAATATGTTAAGCTAAATTAGACAAAAAAGATAATTTTACTACTTTTGAGTAAAAACGGAATGAAGAATATGTAGTTACATGTTATAAAAACAGTAATTATATCTTTGCAATTTATAAATATATATTAATATATATATATATATTTATTTATATATATGTTATCGTCGAAGCCTGAAGCACCAGCGATCTCAGGATTGACTAGCCAATAACCGGAGAAACCAAGCGTTTTGGCCACAATCCGAAATAGTTTCGGTTTTTGACTGTTGTGTTTTTAGTCAATCGTAAGAGTAACTAACACGGTTGGTTAAAGTTGAAATCTAAAAACACTTTGGTTCATCACTTCAAAGTTTGACTAGTCAGTTTTAGGTGTGATTGAAAATGACTGTTATGGTCAAAGCCCGAAGTACGAGCGTTTCTATGATTGACTGGTCAATATAAAGAACAACTAAGCGTTTTGATCTGAAATAATTTTGTTTCGGCTTTGACTGATGTATTTTTAGGCAATTCTAGGAATGACTAACAGGGTGAGTCCCAGATAGGCACAAAATAAATCGGAGAATGTGTCAATCGGACACAGACTCAATCGGATAGACTAGTATTAAAACAAGACTAATTCTTTTATGTTCTTTTTGTTCGTGTTGTAAGCGTGTAGGCAGAGAGGACTGTGTCTCCCTGCATTCCTCCAAAAAATCTAACCTAACCCTAACCTATGTTACTACAATATCAATAGAAATGAGTGAGAATTTTGCGAGAGTGAGTGCAGAAAGAAGAGTTTAGATTAGGGTTGGATTAGGTTTTGGGGGTAGGGTGCAGGAGAGGCGCAGCCTTCTCTGCCTACACGCTTACAACACGAGCAAAAAGAACATGAAAGAATTAGTCTTGTTTTAATACTAGTCTATCCGACTGACTCTGTGTCTGATTGACACATTTTCCGATTTATTTTGTACTCATCTGGGACTCATCCGACTGACATGGCTGCTTAAAGTTAAAATTTAAAAACATCACTTTGAACTTTAAGTTGTAAATTTTACACTGAGAAAAAAAAGTAGTTGGATGAAAAAAAATATACATTGATCTAACAAAATGTCTTATTACGGAGTGCCATCGAAATATATACTTATTGCAATAATATTTGTTATTATTATCAACACTATAGTTCGTTGTTTCAACATCATATCTCATTTTTCATATATTTTTTTTATTGCTAAAATGCTATCTTTAATCGAAAATAGTTAATACATAGTTGAACGTTGTCTGTTAGATTTAAATTAGTTGCAACTTAAATTCTTTAAAACACAAGTTTAATTAATGAAAAAAAAGTTATAGTTGATAGAATTACATGTTTATTGAATCAATTGCAAATTTATTCTTACAAAACAATATATATATCTTACAAATATGTAGTTACCGTAATGAGTTTTGTAGTTAAGAGGATGCTGAACCGTCCTGTTTTACCATCATTTCGTAGTTCCATTTTTTTGTGAAAACTATGAATCGGAATAAAAAATCCTTCTCCAGAAATAAAGGAAATATAGTAAAGAATGGGATAAAGCCTAAAAATTTAAGAAAAACAAAAAAAAGTTTTTAGACTGTTTTTACAGAAACTACATTTTTACTTTATATGCAAAATTGGCCATATAAATCCAAATAAAAATACCTTTATCCCAAACTAGAAACATAGACGAATATTTTGAGTGCTTCAAAAAAGATTTTGAAGCCTTGTGAGACAAGAAAAAATGGAACTACGATTAGTAAAAATTTAGCAGAAGCGTCAGAAAGAAACATATGTCTATCCTTGGCTNTCTCATGTCATCTATCCTTGTTTTGGTTTGATTCGGTCCCGAGAGATGGCGCCACCTACCCGATAGCGTAGCGGTTGAGTAGCAGCTGAGCGGACTTTTGCCAGCTGTTCAGCATCCTCTTAATAGGATACCATAATCAATAAAGTCAAATGTTTTTTTATTTTGATAAAATAAAAGTACAAGTAACAAAATTATTTCTTTAGTTAGCAGAACTAGAAGAATATTAACCGGTTAGGTTAACTGGCACGGTTTTTTTTTACTATTCATGCCCGAACTGGCAACATCGAAAAATTAAGTAAATCCCACAAGATTTGGTATACAAGGGTTTTTTTGAGTCGCTGAATCGATTCCGGAGATTATTTTTTTGATCTGACACTTCCCAACTCCTAAAACATAGAATTTTGGGGGTGAGTTTTTTCAATTCTTTACTAAACCTTTTTTTGTTCTGTCGCTTTTATTGCGGGATGAATAGGGGTTTAGGGGGTTAATGTTTTAGTTTTTTTTTAATAAAAAAATATACATTAAAAAATTAAAATTAAAATAAAAAAAATAAATAAATAAAAATAATAAAAAAATAATAATAAAAAAATAATAATAAATAAAAAAAAGTAAAGTGTAAAATCTTTCTGTAACCTCCTCGTCGGTACACTCTGGGGTCGTGAAATTTTCACCAGCTAACTACGGGAGTAACAGCTTACTTATAAAATTGAATACAGTACGAATAATTTATACAAATCCCAACAATTCGTTAGTCATTTTGGTTCGGCCATGAATTTTGAAAATCCGATTTCAGATTTGACAGCCATTTTGAGTCTGTCATATTGAAATTTAAAATTCCAATATTAAATTCAGATTTAGCGATCCCAAAAATCCTTATATACAATTTTTTTAAATCCCGATAATATTTTAATATTTGGTAGCCATTTTGAGTCTGCCATATTGAATTTTACAATTCCAATGCCAAATTCAGACTCAGCGACTCCAAAAACCATTACATACCAAGTTTCATTCAAATCGTTTGAAAATCAAGAAAGTTATTCCGTTTGAACATATATGATATATAAGCAGAATTGGCCAGATTTTTTTTTGATCATATATGATACATTGCCAGTTAATTGGTTAAAATGAATTGTAACTGTATTCCCTTTATAGTAAATATTTGATTATTAAAATATAATTTTTCGAAACGAGAATTATGCGTCAACTTGACTTGAAAACATGTGTACTTCTATGAAATAATAATTTCGTTGAAATGACTATTTTAGTGACAGAATCAGACATTGCCTAAATTTTATATATTTTTTGTTGAAATAGAAATGTATCTCGATTGTGTGTGTGTGTGTGTGTGTGGTTCAAATAAGTATACAATCCACTTAATCTTATGCTATTTCGATGAACATTTATATTCGTTTGGTGCAAGTAAAAATGCATTTTATTGGAAGAAATATCTAATTCTATCATTAAAAAAGACATTTTGATGAATTTATAATTATTTCAAAAAAGGAAAAGTGTTATCAAATCAATTTGACAATAATAGATGAATAATTAAATTTATAAATCTTACACTTTATACATATTTATACATTAATAGCAAAGACGTATTGCTTCAATAAAAAATATAACAAAATTGATATCATATATCCCATACAGCACCGAAAGATTGCAATAATATTGCAGAAATCTTGCAGTGAAACATTGTAATATTGCGTGATAGTTGCAAAATATTTCTGCAATGTTACTGCAAGCTTACGGCAACGTTGAAATGTCCGCCTTCAAAAATATTANAATGTAAGACTACAGTAATGTTACAATGCAATGTATTTGTAATATTGAAACACAAATATGCAAAATGTTTAAAATTTAATAGATAAACTTTAACAATATATAAAGACTTCGAAGAGAGATGAGAACAAACTTGTTGCTAAATTGGTTGCTATAAGTTCATAATCTTTTTGCACTCGAAACTCACAATCAGATATCCGATCGAATATAAAAAGATTATGAATTGACGCAAGGACATGAGTTTGTTTTCATGTCTTGGATATCTTTATGTTATTGAACTTTATATATTTTCAAAGTTTATTTATTAAAATTTAAAGTATCTTGCATATTAAAAAAAATATGAACAAATCCTTGGTTTTATATAAAAATTAGTAAATAATTTTCTTTTGTCTAGTTAATATCGCTATTTTATTTTATTATATATATTGCATTTTACTTTTTATATAATAACAACAGCTTTCTTCTTTTAAATTTTAATTTATTTTTATGTTGGTCTTATGCTCTTATAACATACATTAATGTTTCCTGTTGCTGTAGTGTCATAATAATGTTATAGTCTTATTTCGCAACGTACTTGCAATATTGCAATCTTGCAATGAAATATTCCTTCAATGTTCTTGCAATCTTTCTGTGCTGTATGGGTTTATATCGTACTTCTCGAGAATATACGCTTATCATAGACACGCATATTATGGTAGAGTTTCACAGTACACCTTCGTACAATACCTGGATAAATTGCAATTTAAACGCAAAAACAAGCTATTTGGAATCACAAAATCAAGTAAGGAGAATAATACTAAAAAAGGTAAACAATTTATGGAGAAATTACACAACAATGAACGCAACAATAAGTTGTTTGGATTCATGGGATCGAAGAAATTGGAGTTTTACAGATGCTATGAGTACACCTATGGGTCCGATATTTGATCAAAGATGGGAAGGTAAAGGATTTACATTGTGTAAAATCTTTTATCATTATTAATTTGGAATATTCAATACACTGCGTCATTATACGTTTGCAAAATGTAGATGTAATATTACTGTTTTAAATAATAAACACTTATTATTTTTAGACTTACAAGAACAACAAGTTCTAAAAAAAAAGTATTTGTTTCAACTTTTATCAGTTCCAAAAGTAGGAGCAATATCTATTTCAATTCGTTCATGGCAGAATGTGAACATTGCTGTCTGTTTTTCTATTCCTACGCATACTGCGACATTTGATGTGAGAAACCTTTGTTTTAGAATAACATTAAAATGCGATAGTACGAAGTCCACGATTGAATATGAAAACAAATTTTATAGATTTACACGAGATCTAGATCAACAGCGTTCTTTCAACAACACAAGTTTCAATCAAGTAAGATAAACGTACAATATAGTTTTTAGTAGTTATGTAATTCTCAGGTTTTTTCTCTTATACATAATCAAGAAATTTCAAAATCAAAACTTAACAAAAATGTATATTTGAAAGTTTATTGATTGTGTGTATAATTTTTTACGACATTGAGAAAGAAATATATACCACACAAAATTAAAAAGTCAGAGAAATCTGACATTGAAACAAACGAACCAACTACTTAAACATTATATTTAAAACAAAAGCTTTCATAATTATTCCAGTTATTACCACTAGTTGGAACTGAATGGCGAACGTTCGTCATTTCATGGAATGTTTGGAAAAGAAATGTTTCTGTTTATGATACTAACGATAATAACAAAATGCTTACATTTGAAGATACAGAAAAGTTTTCAAACAACTCAACTTTAGATAAACATTACGCTTATATTGACATCTCCGAAGATAATTCCATAAAAGCGTTGTATCGCTTTCATGAATGTAAGTATGTTCATTTCAAACAAAAAGTTTACTTAGTTAGATACTTTACTGTATTCTAAACACAGCAAACTTGTCGAACAAATTGTGATCTGACAAGTTTGAATAGTTTCTTCAGAAGTAGGATTGTCATTTGAACTAAATAAAAAGAAGTGTAATTTTATGTGTCTTACTATTATAGTTTAAGTATCTTTAAATACTTAATATAATTAGAAACTTTAAAATATAAACAATATAAACAATATAAACATTAGATTCTCCTTTGTTTATATATATAGTATTTTCTATACATTTCTTCTGTTGCACGCGGCTTGCAAACTAAGTACTCACAAACTTAAACCATGATGTAGATAGAATAGTCTAATTGAAATTAAGATAGCCTACCTGATTGTAATAAAACATAAATATATTCACATATATATTGCGTTTCAGACACTTTCCTGTACACAGTTGATAAGAATGCTGTTTTAACGACTCGTTATTATAAACCTAATACTCAGAAGATATGCATACAAATATTACTAGGCTTATGTGCAGAATGTGATGCAGACGTCGTGATGATTGATTCCACAACTCATAAAGTGTTACAATCTGTAACAGCTAAAGGCTCAATAAATGCTGCAATTCATGGCTTACCTATGTGGCAACTCGTTAAACTTGATCGAGATTTTCTCACAGACACTTATATTAGTGCGATAAAAATTCGCATAATTCCCAAACTTACGAAGCCCACTCACAATCCGTTATGGGCAATAGCCCATGTTCGACAATGTCCCAATAAAGGTATAAATATGCATAGATTTCTCATTTTTTGTATAATTATTTGTAACATTAAAATATGTGTAGTAATAATAAGTGAAATACTTACATTTCCTAGAAAACTGTCACTAATACTTTTTTATATTTATCTCTTTTATGATTTATGTTTTTTTTAGAGGTTTTGAGAAAAGGAATTATTTTGCAATCAAATAACGATGCTATTCCGTTGTCGAATATAACTTGCCAAAAATTATTCTTTAATGAAAATACCGTCGTAAATTCTTTATCAAAAGCTTCAAACACCACAGATCTAGGTAGTTATCAACATGTTAATTGTTATGTGTATAATTTTATATTTTTAAAAGCTTTCAAACTTATTATGTATCATTGTTTTCTCAAATAGCAATATACAATAATATTGTATTTGTAATCGAGAACATTCTATAATATATTTTAGAATATATTTTATATAAAATAATTGTGTTACTATGAACATATTTCACAGATGACAAAATTTGTTCTGAGGAAAGAATTGGGCCAGACTGTTCTTTTTCCTGCAAACATGATCTGAACAGTCCTCCTAACTGTAAAGGAACTGCAATCTGTTACAAATCTGGTTGTATATGTCCTCCGGGATTTCAAGGTGATACGTGTTCTGATTGTAAGTAGATTGAAATGGTTTTTTTAGTTTTATTAATGTAATGTAGGTTTGTGTGTGTGTTATATTTCTTTGCGCACTGGTTGCACTCACATAGAACAGAACATTCTATCCCAGCAAACACAAAGTAACAGTAACGTAACATTAATGTTATAATTTCCCACTCATTGATGTAACTGCAATGTAACATGCCTTGTACGTAGCAGTTACATTGTTGAGTGGGAAATTATAACATTAATGTTACGTAACTGTTACTTTGTGTTTGCTGGGATTGGACATCTTTTACACATCCATAATGAAAATTGGAAACATCTAATGGACGTTCACGTTACCTCTGGATATCCATTAGATATCTAGAATTCACTTTGTAAATATTCATAGGAAGTCTGATAGATGTATTCCATAGATGTTTTATGGTAATCTATGGAGATTTAGTAGATATCCCACATAGCACGTAATATAACTGCAATATCACTGTAATATTGTTTTTCCATTACAATATTACACTTTAATATAGTAGAAATATTACTGTAATGTTAATATAATATCACAGTAATATTAAAATCTCTGTCGAAATGCATCACAGTAATATTATTAAGAAAACCAATGGCACATCGCCTTGTAAGAGAGGAAATTTAATTCCAGATTTCACTCGAATTAATCTTTACCGACCTGATTTAGTTTGCCAATTAACTGATTAACTCAATGAATGATATCGGGATTCGCAAAAAACCCTGAGATGGATGATAGGATTCTCGAAACTTTCAGGAACTCGAGACTTTTATATATTCGCAGCCTCTTCATTCAGTCCGCAAGACTACTTGCTTGTTTCTTGCTAAAATGTAATTCTTTTATCTACTTATTCTCAAGTTATTTTATACACATTTATTATTATTATTATTATTATTATTTTATACACATTTTATTTATTATTTCTTTAAATTTTATTACAACTATTACAGTGCAATGTATCTGCAACAATAGATAAAAATATTTTTCTTATTATTATTAATTATTTATTATTCTTATAATTATTATTCTTGTAATTTAAAGTACATTTTTACAAAACTGTATTTTACGCAAAATTTTTTGTCTCAAACAATGCTATATTTAAATCAAATATATTTTATGTTACATTTATGTTAAAAAATGTTTTTTTTTCATTAAATAATGCTTAATGAAACCAAATAAAATATTATTTCATTAAAATAAATTATTTTTAACATTTGTATTGTTTCCGTCAAATAATATGATTTCTTTTAACATAACAATACAATTTTCGTTCAACAAAATTGTTGTTTGGTATTATCCACATAGCATGGTTAGTAGCACAAATGTTTCCGTAACGTTAGTGCTACTACCCACATAGCATGTAATATTATTGCAATATCACAGTAAAATTGCAATATATCAGTAATATTAGATATTATAATACAATATTACAATAATATCATCGACATATTACATTTACATATAATAATGAAATATTGTATTGCAATTGAAGTAGCAGTATTATATATATCAAATTTTTTTATTATGTCTTCTAAACGTTAGAGATGTTATTTAACGTGATTTACTATTTGGCACGTTGCATACATTGCATTGGACTACCCGGTAAAACATTTTCCATGTATAAAATTATATGGACATATTCGGTATATAAATTTGCATAATTAGATATAATTATTTTAATTTGTGTATAAGTATATAATATATGAAAAATTTTTTACCGGGTGAATAAAATATTTTAAAACTAATAAATTTTTGTATGATATGTCGCGAATATCTTTTTCAGTAATATTACTCAAACGTACCCTGATAGCCAAGCATGTTTTGCAAAATCATGTAACTTAATGCTGAGCTGAAGTTTTCAACTAGTTGCTGTGTATTTGCTGAATACATGATGCATAGTCATACGTAATCGACAACACGAAGGCAAATTTGAGACATTTTGTGTCAGCAGATTCAGAGCAAACAAAGAG